CGGTGCCCCGATCCTGGCAGGGAAGTCCCCTGCCGCTCCCATTAACTTCATGCATTGCCACCAGGCTGACAGACACACAGCTAGTCCCAGTGCCCGGCAGGATCAAATCCTCTGGGCTGCCTCTACCTTTACACTAGGCACATCTGCAACACGATTACCACTGGGATCTGAAAAATGCGGATTAAAGAGAAGCCTGTGGGGGGTGGAGGGTGGCGCAGGGCCAGTGGTGCTTTAAATCTTCAATCTAAGTTGTAGGTAAACAGTGTAGCACAGAGATAGAGGGGTCTGAAAAAAAGTCATGAAAACCACTCAGTCTCTGAGGGGAGCGCATCCCAGGGGACCCACTGTCAGCCATGCAAGCAGTGGTTCTCCGAAGAAGTGTAGCAGTTCCTAGACTTTCCTGCCAGCCTCATTTATTCACCTCGCTAACTGGACTTGTGAATTTGCAATAATTAGGGAACACTCTGGACTACAAAGTGTTTCTCAAAGCAAGCACTGAGTCACTGAAACAAAGATCAAAGACAGCAGTTTCAAACAGCAGAAAGAAAAGCCAGGAAAGTCCATCCTGAGGAAAGCTGCATTCATCAGGACTAGGTCTTGCAGGCTGTGATCTTCTAGCACAACTCGAAGCACACCTCTCAGCAGAAACCCACCCAAGTCAATTGAAGCACAGCATTAGCATGATTAAAGCCATACACAGGCATCAGGACCTTGATAAACAGCCCAGAACCAAAACCTTCATGCAAACAGCTTATAGAATACAACACTTAAAAGGAATTGTGCAAACCATCACCACCTTCGCACCCTCCACCCGTCCCAACAAAAAAGAATTTGGAAAGAGAGGGAGGGGAAGCTATCTTTTAGTATTTCTAAGTACTTAAAGCCAAACTGATGCTTCAATTGCACATTTGCTAAAGTTTAATGACATGGAATGGAATCAAAGCAATAACATTTAAATCAGCTTAAGGAAACTTGAGTCATGGGCCATTTCATCCAAACCAAAAGTACTCCAAACAGGATCCAGCTTCTGCTGGAAGCTAAACGGTGTTTGGGTATGTTGCTTAGGATGGACTTTCCTACTCACCAGAAGTATTATGTAAAACTAGCCAGTTGCTTTTCATTCTGCAGCTTCTATTCTAGTGCACGCTGGCTTTCACTAGGTACAGACCAAACCATTTCACCTAACTAAAAAAACTAATGTGAACACTGTGTCATCAAATCTTCTGGCACACACGCAGATACCACTGAGTTGATGGTCTGCTTATGCAAGAGAGATTAAGGGAAGGTACAAATGAGCGGACAGAGCAAAATAAATTGCCTACAGGAAACCTTACTTGTGCCAATTTCATTTTTAACTGAGATTTAGGGGTACATTTTTGGAGGTAGAACAAGTATGGAATCATCCCTGAAAAAATAAATTAAGTTATGTAAGAAGAAATCACAAACTCTCCTCCAAGAAATGACTCCAAAAAGTTCACACAATCTCATGCCTGTGAGCTACATCAGACAGCTGTCATCCTAGAGGATCAACTGCAACCATTTGTAGCAGTGGATTTATGCTTCTCCTAATGTGAATCAAAAAGCAGCACAGTAAGTAAAAGGTTACATTGCCCTCATGTATCTTAAATAACATAAGGCAGGAGATGAACCAAAAATATGAAGTACATTTAAGAACTGTGTTATAATATGTGCCATTTCAATTTAAGTGAGCCTGACATTCAATCTTTTAATGGTTTCAGTTCCTTCATTTCTATCATTAAACAAAAAGAAAAAGAAAATCAAATATATACCATAAACGTCTGGATCCACAATTGGGCCACTACCTGTACAAGGAGAAGAGAAAAAAAAAAGAAAAAGCCTTTGTAAATAGATTGAAAATGCTGGAAGAATACGAGTTTCTTTAGGAATTTTTTTAAGAGTTGACATGCTATTTGCAATAGCAATGATCAGTACCTACACAAATGCAAAGCAACGTCAATATATTGCAGTACCTGTTTACCAGATTACATTTACAACCATTTTAGAGCTATCCCAAACGTTAATATTTTGCTATATGTGAAATAGCCATGCACAGGGCACTAGCTGTAGCAAAGGCGGGCGTATTTCCCAACTGGGCAAAATTCTGCTTTCTGCTGTTAATGTGTATCTGGAGGAAGTGCAACAATAACTATTCCTGTTGAAAAATCAATAGTAAAATTCTCCCTGACCTTATGTGGAAGCAGACTTCAACCACTGACTTTTACCTGGTCAAAAAATTTTGCTATTAAATCACTGTGAGAGGAAACTGGTTTAGCTGTGAACTGGCAAGTTAAGGACTAGAGGTAGCAATGACCTAAGCAGCACCATCTCATTCACTCTGTAAAAGGATGCTTCCAAGAAGCCAGCTCCACAGCTGATACACAGACAGAACTCTTACCAAAAGAGTCAGATGTCTCAGAAGCCAGCCTTCACACAAGCAAATGGATCTCGCCTAGTCTACACTTTTCTAAGTTTTACTAGTTCCAGTTCACAGCTTTTTCTAATTACTGCACATATGTAAGGCTGAGCACATACGTGAGTATATTGCACAGAACGCCCACTGAAATTAGTGTACTGTTAGACTATTCATGCTTTGAAAGATATTTGTGTTGTATTTCAACATACCCGCTCATTCTGGTCTATAATGTATTTATAGCATCACTTACGTAGTAGGCTCCTAATAATCTCTTCCATATCTTTACTTTTTTCTTTTTGTTGGTTTGAAAATAAAATTGAGATAGTTAAAATCTCTAAAGTTGAATAAACTTCAAAAAGCATAAGTCTGTTTAAAGTACTATACAGTAAATCCATAGCAGTGGTATTAGACTGGCATAAAGGCACTGTGAAGTACGACCAGAACACCATTGTTTCTGCTTATGTCAACAGCATGAGAATCTGTGCTGAAAATACTAAATAGAGTTGCAACTTATTTTCAGAATGGCAGCAAATAATTAGGCTTATTTTTAAATGCATTTGAGGATATACTAGTATCCAGAGATTTGGGTTAATAGACCCCATGAGAACTGTCATGTCAATCTGCAGAAATAAATAACAAATGAAGAAAGCTTGTACTATCTGTCCTCAAGCAACTTCTGACCAGGGTTTTCTGTCCATAAAAGTTCACGGATTCAGTTTTTCCAGTATAAAACATCCATCTGCTGAAAGACAGTGTTTCTAATTTACCTTGTGTAATCTGAAGGGAAAAAAAAAAAATCAAAAAAATTCCAAGGTCTTTATTCCTGAGTTAAATGGCAACTTTTTTGTTACTGCTTATTGGAATTGGGATAAAGAAATCAGATTTATTTAACCCCTAACTCCAGCCAGGGACAAACTACAAAGTCATCAACACATTCAAATATCTTTTATGTAACTAAACACTTCAAATAAAGTTGCAAATATCAAGATGCTGCACAAAACCACCATACGAAATTTCTATTTAGTATTCCCTACATAAAAACATATCTAGTCAATCATCAAAACATCAGTTAAAGATATTTTAACATTAAACTTCAACACGGTAACTTTGCACATCTAAACACAATTACTTTTAAGGCAAACACAGAACAGCATTGTTGGTTTGGTCCTTGTTAGAATAGGTTGTTGTGTAAATAAACTGTTAAAAGACACTCCTATTCACTCGTCCTTACAAACTACATCAACTACACTTGGTTTGCTTGCTGCTTTCTTTATAAAGTTGACATTTTCAAAATAAAGCAGCAGCAAAAGACTCAATCCAAAAACATACTTCTGCAAAACAGCCCCATGTTGTTATGTCGCACGTGCAAGATGCGGTTTCTGAGGCATATTTAACATACTCTTTTACTTTGACAAGCTACTATGTGACTTGGATTCCTTGAGCTGAATTTTAGAGTGGAGAGCTGGTAGATGAATAAGCTTAATTAAATACACTTAGTAGTAGTAAAAATCTCCCCCACTTTCATTAGGTGTTTTGGATCAACTATGACAACAGCCTGCAGAATAAAATATGAACATTTCTTGCTTCCTGTTTGCTGCAGTGTAGACTCAAATAATCAAGCCATCCTCAGAAAGAACAGCTTCACAGGAATCCAGGAACTTCAGCAGATTAAAGCCAGTTAAACATCTAGCTAACAGAATATGAAATTTATTCTTCCACACTTTCATATTGAAAACAAAGTCTTAATTTATAACATTAATTGTGTTATCATTAACTCAATCCAAATCCCACTGTAGTTACATGCTTTTCTCTCCTTCATGCCTGCATCCTCAAACCAGTGAGAAATGTTCTGCAAGTAGCATGTTGGAAGTTGACAGCATCTTAGCACAAATCATGTCTTCATCATGTTTGATGCAACTTTGAAAGTGGAGTATTACACTGTTTATCACAGAACATGCTTCAGACTTATTCGTATTTAATTTAGATAGACATATGGATTAGAGGTGAGGGGATTTTTTAAATTGTCTTTTGTTCTTACGTTCAGAGCATTTGCCCGTAAGTGATGCAATAACCAGAGAATCAGTTTAAAGCTCATCGAGTATACCCCACCCCATGAAACATCAGGGCTGGTATTTAATTCAGTCGTGAAGGCATGGAAATGAACATAATACCAGGGCGTGGGCCTTAGTCTTTATGCTTCATTGTACAATATGTGGGCCAAAAGAAGAAACTACACAGTAACGACAGCACTGAAAAAGCCTTTTAAGGGTTTGAAAAAGCCTGACAGTGCTTTAAATAGTAATAGTTTAAAACAAAAATTGTAATAATTGCACAGAGGATTCTAGTTTTTTAACATTTGCTTTTATGCCAGCTTCAGTGGAGGAGACAACAATGTTGTGATGTTTTCTAAAGCTCAATGCCATGATTCTTATAGGAAAAAAATAAAAACAATATTGAGGAGGCTAAGTAAATAAGCAATTTCCCCTCTTCTTCATTTTTAAGACTGGTTTGGTACCATCCACTATGCATGAACTGATTTCTAATGTAGCTACATTCTGTCTATACATAGTACAGTTTCCTCTGTACTCTTTTTTCTGAAGCTTAATCCACCACTGAGCTTGGGAAACTCTTAAAGAAGACAGCGAGATTATGTTGGGAGACATATTCTTTATGAGTGTAAAGAGGATGGAACAAATAAATGGTGCTGTCTTTCTAATTTGGAGAATACCTACAGTTCTATTTACTGATTTAAAAGGCCAATAACTGGCAAATTTTCAGTGTACAGGGGAGAAGCATAAAAGGAAAAACAGAACAGTGAAAGGGATTTGGATCAAAGACAAAAAATGATAAATTCACCTGAATGTATTAGAGGAACTGTTAGTCTGTTAAGAAAATTAAGCCAGGTTCTTATTAAATAATCAGGGTGTAAGAGAACTTCCATTGTACACAGAACATCTATTATATGAACTGTTTTACTGAACCGTTATAATGCAGTATTAGAGGATGCCAGTGGCTGAAACCATGGCATGTTTCTGTAACGAGTCTATTTAAGGAAGAACTCCAGAGGAAAAAGAGGAGAGGATGACTAAGGACAGCAGGAGTAAATAAAGCCTGGTTGTACCGTTGTACCAGCTCTTCACCTTCTTCTTCTAAGGGTGGGAAAGCAAAGACCTGTCATCTCTCTCCCTATAGCAGACAGAGCTGGTAGGGAAAAACACTAAATACAGACCATATTTTTACTGCTTGTAGCTTGCAATGTAGGAGAGAGAATTTAAATATTCACTTTTTTTTTTTCCTGTGAGATAAGATTAGCACTGCACGTTGCCGTTTCAAAAAAGAAGGCCTCTATTTATATCCCATGGCTAAAAAGCCAAAGGTACACACGTGCTCATATTTTCAGATATGACTGTGCAATTACTTGCGCAAAAACATGCCTTTATTTCCATTCCAGCTGTGCGAGGTCCACTCAGAGTTCTTTCCACATACAGCAATATGCTTACATGTATGCTTTCTTCCTCTTACAGTCACTTCACATATGGGTTTGAAGATGTGTGAAAATATCAAACCACGGTGAACATCAATCACTTACGGTAGTCCTGCAGTTCAATAAGTTAGTCCACCTTCAGCCTGTTCACATAGGAGGGCTGAGGTGGAGCCTTTAGAGCAACTGAAGATGCATATATTTAAACAGCAACCATCTTGAGCACAGCTAGTCCTAGGCACGTAAATGCCCAACCTCCACTGAAACAAATGAGACTTGGACATTGAAATGCCAGTGAGACCCTGGGACCTTATCCATCCTGCTTCTGTGTTGCTTGTTTCCTCTCCAGCTCCCTCTGGTGTCCTAAACAACATACTATCATCAACTCACTGGACTGCACTATTGATTTTGCAACAAGGTACTAGATGCTACATAGGCATCCCCCATGACCTTGGCTACACTGACTGGCTGCATTCATACGCAGTGCAGAAAATTTACAGAGTGGCTGAACTGGCACTCAGTGCTTTCCAGGATCAGAACTGAGGCTTGAGAAAACACTTCAGAAACAGCAGTGCCTTAGCTGGCACTGAGGACGGTTACTTAAAATTTATAGAGCACTAGCATGGCCTCCCTTAAGAAGCAATAAACAAGAAAATGCTCAAGAAAAACATTATTTTACAACTAATCTTGAAGACATTCATTCAGAGAGGGGAAAAAAAAAAGCATGTAAAAAGCTTCCTCCAAAATAGTTAAACTGGCCAGGAGTACTGTCTCCAGAGTCTCATCAATTTGCAATTGCTAACATTAAAAAAATTATACTCACCATCTCCAGGCACTGACATGAAATGAGCATCAACCCGTTTTTCATCTTCTCCATACTCATTCTTTGCCAGTAAGGTATAAGCACCATTATTCAGGTGGGTAGGATTGTCCAGCTGAAGGCAGCCATGGTATTCACTTTGATTGATAACATGTATTTTAGTACAGATGTATTCAGATTCATTCAGTATAGCCCCTTCATAGAACCACTGCAATGTGGGCTTAGGATTCCCTTTCACAGTGAATGGAATACACCAGTGGTGGTCCGGGGTTGGAGATTCAATAAATGTGATATTTGGTGCAACTATATTGGAAAAAAAGAGTGAAGAACATCAGAATATTCCGAATCTGTCTTTCCTCCCTTCCCCCAAAGTTATCAGGCAAGTATTTTTCATTCATCAGTACAAAAGTACGGTATTAGTAGGAATGATACCTATTTGGAGGATACTCACACAGGAACCCACCTGCTCTGCCGAGGGTACTATGCTCACAACTGAAATGAAGCCATTCTTTAGAAAGAAACAAAACCAACTAGTTTCAGACAAGGACTGAACACCTGTTAAATCACTTAAACCCTGTAAGGTGTGGGATGTTCAGTTACTGGATCACTGAGAAGAGGGGGAGAGACATTTTAGCTTTAGTCTGCTGAAAAAATGGTGCAGAGGAGTGTTGAAGGAACACAACAGTATTGAAAATATTTAAAAGTTGGCCAAAAGCAAATAGTACTGGAAATATATTCAGCTAGGAATCCAAACTTTCGGATTATTTTCTTCACAGAATCAAAGCCAGAACAGATGACTTAATTCCCTGGATTATTCTGTCAGGGAAAGATGATTTTCTACTATGTATTTTCTCATTCTTTGTTCAAACCTGCTAAATGCCTCAAGTTTACAGATTTGTTCTGTTTCCCTCAGGAGATTATTCCAACACCTTGTCCATTATTTCACTATTGGGAAATTTTCCTTGATATTTATTCTTAACTGCATCCAATTGAATCTAGTTATACTCCCTTTTATCACTCATAACAGTGCCAAGCTCAGAATCTCATTTACACTGTTGAAACATTCCTAGTTTATGTCCCTTCCTATAGCTATTACATATCCAATTTCAACCTACAAATCTACATCTACAGTGATTTTTCTAGTTTACTCTGTCATGAGCACATGCTGTTGTTTGCCATCTACAAAGCGTTCCATTCCCACCTTCAATTAAACAGAGGATTGCAACTTGTGAAAACATGCTGTCTAGTTCACATAAAATGAATTCAGGCTGGAGCTTAGATCTAAGAAGCCAATGCCTCTACTCTACATGTCCCTTCCCCCTTCCTTGGCCCTGACAAATAAGTATATTATTCAAAGCTATGACAAATAAATTTACATCTGGCAGTATGAATGTTGCAAGTGCATTATTTTTTGAACAAAGTAGTTGTTGCTTTGGACAAGAATAAACATTTGTAGTCTCTTATAATTAATTCTACGAGCCTTTTGATGCATTCACACTTCTTAATTCCTAAGACAGTGTGTATGTACATGCACACCATTATAAACCTTCCCACACTGACAGTGCCATTGAGTACTTTGGGTTTCAGAACTTTACTTACAGATTGTTCTAACTGGAAGACAAAGCATTTAGAAATACATTTTTGCAGAACACAAAGCTGAAAAAGATAAATACAACAACTGCTGGTTGGGCTACTCCCAGCATTAACTGCAGTAGATAGTTCACATGCCTTAAGGGTTTTTGTTTCAACAACCTGTGTGCCCAAAAAATATTTATACCCAAAACAGTTGCTGCCAATGCAGTTTGGCCTCAGAAGCTATATGGAGGCCTGCGTACGTACAGAATACCGTGAGCTCAGCAGAGGCTTGGTCCTCTCCCACAATGTTCTCTGCTATGCAGGAAATCCACAGTCCACTGTCCATGGATGAAACGTTCTTTATGGTTAGCGAGGCAGGGTTCTTACTTGTGTCACTCTACAAGCGATCAGAAAAACACGTGTCAACTGCAGCACAAAGAACGAGGGAATCACTGGCCACAGCTGAACAGCATTTTACATTTTCCCTTCCTTTTAGGTGTATCAGTCCACAATTCATCAAAGCCTTACTTTAGTGTCTCAACCAAACAGACACAAAACGCCTACAGAATCAATTGTAAACGTCAGTGGCAGTGAATTCAAAGCTCCAAAAGCCCTGCTACAAACACTGCACTCAACCATTTTTCTGTTCTGTCACTTTCAGTTTCTGCCTTTTTTTAAGCACCTCCTCTCTACACAAAGGGGTTTTTTCTACCCATACCCTTGCTCATTCCTCTTTTCCACTTTATGACTGGTTTCTATGGCCTATCTCTGCTCCTTGAACTTCTTCTTTCCTCCTATATTCTGTTCAATCCTTCCTTTACTCTTCCTTTTGTCTCCTTCCTTTATACTTACGCTTGACCACTCTTCCACTGCTGCCTTCTGAGTGCTACTGTACCTTGACAATGTGTCTTCTCCCCCCTCCTTAGCCAAATTTCTCTTGAAAGCTTCTTCTCCTCATTAAAATCTTCCACAAAAGATTACATACTTTCTACTACTTAAGCTACTGCCCAAGTTCTGTTTTATGTGTTTAAGTGTGGGCTAATTAAGGTAATGCCATGGTTTAGGCCCAGCCAGCAACTAAGCACCACGCAGCCTCTTGCTCACTCACTCCCCACCCTGAGGTGGGATGTGGGAGAGAATTGGAAAAAAACTCACAAGCTGAGAAAAAAACAGTTTAATAGGAGAGCAAAGGAAGATAAAATTAAAAAAAAACAAAACAAAACTAGAGTAATACACAAGAACAAGTGGTGCCCAATGCAACAACTGCTCACCACCCGGCTATCAATAGCCTGTCCCCGAGCACTGATTCCCACCCGCTGGCCAACTCCAGTTTATGTGCTGAGCATGACGTTACGTGATATGCAATATCCCTTGGGCCAGTCTGGGTCAGCTGTCCTGGCTGTGCCCCCTCCCAGCTTCTTGTGCACCTTGCTGCCGGCAGAGCAAGGGCAGCTGAAAAGTCCTTGGCTTAGTATAAGCACTACAACTACTTAGCAACAAATAAAAACATCAGTGTGTTATCAACATTATGCTCATACTAAATCCAAAACAGAGCACTATAGCAACTATTAGGAAGAAAAGAGGGCCAAAATAAAAAAAAAAAAAAAAAAAGCTTCAAAACCAGGTTTTTGAAACCCTGGGTTTCTTCTGGCTGTGCCCCCTCCCAGCTTCTTGTGCACCTTGCTGCCGGCAGAGCAAGGGCAGCTGAAAAGTCCTTGGCTTAGTATAAGCACTACAACTACTTAGCAACAAATAAAAACATCAGTGTGTTATCAACATTATGCTCATACTAAATCCAAAACAGAGCACTATAGCAACTATTAGGAAGAAAAGAGGGCCAAAAAAAAAAAAAAAAAAAAAAAAAGCTTGCAAAGCTAGTTGTTGAAGACTCTGGTTTTCTTAAATCAGGCCCTTCATATGATCTCCAAATAATTACTATTTCCATACTTGAATTTTTCACAAAATGCAAGACTATTTTCTTAAAAAGGAATGGAACCAAAACACACTCAGAAAATAAGCAATAATTAGGATCATTGTTAAAAGCTACTTTTGGGGTATTTTTCTTAGTGTACACATACACTTCAGTGCTGCACAGAAGACAGGCAAGTAACACACTGCATCTGTAAAACCACCATGACTTTCAGTGGCAGTCAGTGGGGACACGAGGGAACACTCCTGCATGCAGTCCTGCAGGACCAGAATTTTGAACCTCGAGATGACACCTGAACTCCACTTAAGCTTAGCACCCCTTTGATTTTAGTGTGACAGTAGGGGAAAGGAGCGGAAAAGCGAACACCCCCTGACACATTTCTCTATGCGCAACTCTCAGAAGTGAGCAGTGCTCAAAGCCGGATTGAAAGCAGAGGGGCTCAATCACAGGCTCAAGGCTGAAATCTAGGGCAGGAAAAAATCTAACCAACATCAATCAGATTATACAACAGCATAGAAACTGAGAGCATACAGTTAGCTTTGCAGGACTAGAGTTTAGTTTTAACTTTTGTTAGCATCTCTCTTTGTAAAACAGGAAAGAGAGAGAAAACAGGCAAAAGCAGCATAGGAGGTGAAGAAAACGGAGGCAGAAACTGAGATATGGAAGTGAGAGAAAGGAAACCAAAAACAACACTCACAGAAAATGGAAGGACAGTTGTGAATGGCAAATGAGGTTTAAAAGGCACTCATTCTTCTGCTACTGAAAAGACTACTGTGCTCCATGGTTAAGGTTGTAGCTAGCCTATATTATGAGCCCCTCTGAAATCTCAAGATGAAGTTACGCCAGGACAGAATATTTCTGGAAAGCTTGAAGCAAACTGACCATGGCATTTCAAAGATAGGAGAGTTAAAAAATGAGGTGATCTCACTTTCTGAACAGCATCCCACATTTGTTTTGGCTCCTAACTCAAAAAAAAAAAAAAAAAAAAAAAAAAAAACAGCACAACTTGGCATAGGTTCCCCAAACCATTTTAATTTCTTGTTCTTGATGACAACTGATGCCTTTGGGTAGTTTTACAGATTAGAGAAAATTTTAAAAATAAAACTAGAGCTCTGCAGAGCTTTTACTTATGAGAGCTGAAAGTCAGGCTCGTCAAATTCTATCCAGGCCTGATATAATGACCTCAAGGAAGTACAAAGATTATGAGACGCCAGAGGTCCTGTCTCTTCCACACTGCAGGAACAGTTTTGGAAGTATACAACCCACACTTTGTACAGACCAGGAGGCTTTAAGCAGTCTGCATCATGATGAATGCAGGAAAGCCAATGCCATAAAATTGTAAATAACAGAGGGTTTTGCCCACTGTGTAAATAACAGCAATTTAAGAGATCAGCAGCTGCATGTTGAAGATCTGCTTATATGCTTCTCCTTATCAACACTTCCATCAGAAAGAACTTAATTATTCTATCTCCAGTGTGCACACAGTCTTGAGTTAGGGACACAGAATACAAAGGTGCCAGAAAACAAAATTCCCCCTGCCTAGATGATTCTATTGAGGAAACATCCTCATACTTCATTTAAAAAAACTGCCATTCCTTATAGTAAATTCCTTCACTTCAATTTCCAAGGCTTTCTGTTGTTGCTTTGTTTGTTGAAGGAAAATGAAACAAACCCCTAAATAAGTTTTGCAACCAAATTCCAACACACTAAGCTTCTGGCATGAAAATAAAGTAAAATTAGAAAGTTTTTTTCATTATTAGGATAGATTAGATTTATTCTCTGTATGCAGGTATCGGTGATAATAAGAAAGCCCTTGTGTTTCAGTATCCCAATGCACCAGATCACTTCCAGAAAACTGCAGTACTCTCATTTACAAGTGAACATCCAGAAACCGGAGTGCAAATCAGGGTCTTGAGGAAAGAATGTCTGCCATTCTCCAAAAGCACTGCAGCAGTCACCCTGGATTGAAAGTAACTGGAAAACAAATGTAATCCCAAGACATGAATCTTCATTCCATCCTTCAGCAGGTGTCTCCTCTCTCTGAATTGTCATGTCTTTGAACGTGAAACTTACCTCATGGTTTGAAACAAGATTAGTGAGCACCCAGGACACATTAGGGGGTGGCCCGCCAGTAGTATCACAGTACAATGTGATGCTTTTTCCTTCCACCACGGTGATGTTGTAGTTACTTAAATTTGCTGAGGGCGAGTCTATGATAGAAACAACAACAAAAAAACCACATGTATTTGTATTTGACAGAAATAGACACCACTCAATTCTAAGCAAGGTGTGTAAGTGCAAGCAAAACACCACTAAAATCAAATATTCACCATGGTCAGTTACTATTCAGTCAGGGAGTACAAACAGCATCTTTAGAAACGTATAAACTTACAACCTTTAATGCTAAGCCTAAATGCTGTGTAACATTTTTCTGTGCCCCCTCCACCTCACATCCTAAGAAAACATTACTGCATGTGGAAATACATTCAGCTAATTACATAGGGAAATGTTTCCGTCGGATAGGATAACTTCAGTTTTTAACTTCAAAATGAAAAGAACACCAACTTCCCTTATTCTTTAAAACAGGAAATTTAATCCATCTCTTTCTAAAAGCTGCAACGAAACCTCTATTTTCCACAAACTGACATTGTGGTATTCCCACTGTTCTCCACAACACTAACAGGAAAACCCCATTAGCTCCCAGTATCACACAAAAGAATGCAGCCTTCCCTCTCATACAGAGACACAGCTCACAGAAAGCAGGGCAAAACCTAGATCTTAAGTACAAAGTGAGGCAAACAGAGGGCTGAACAGATCAAACCAGTGGAGAGAAAGGACAGAAGTGAGGATTAGCAGTTGCACAGAGCTGCTATCCAAGTCACCTCAGCAGACTTTGCTACTGCCCTCAGGAAAGCAGAAAAGCAGTGAGATGGTACTATTCACCAGAAAACAAGCCCAGATTTTGCAAGAATCAGGACTCCCCTTCCATCTCACAGAGCTATAAGTCACTCTGTATCTCATTCTTCAGCACCCAATGCAATGGGACTTCCCTAAGAGTGCTGAACGCTTACAAAAACACAAGAAATTATAGACTGATCCTCTTCAAAATTAATGCCAGCAACATCAGTAGACTTCGGGCACAGAGGACCTCACATTTCATATAGCAAATAATTATGCAACATGCTAGAAATATCGTATCTTTCTTAGAAGATACTGTGCCATCATTTGGAGCTGCTACACTCTGTAAAAAGCTTTGGCCTCCTTTATGAAGCATTTCTCATCAACTGTTCCAGGCAAGTTTTACTTGCAATTTATTATCTCAAATAACCAAGTTTATCTGCTGTGCTGGATATGTATGCATGATCTTGCAATGATTTTTCTTTTTCTGAAACAACGGTTCTCTTTCTTTTTTTGGTTCTTTTTGTTTTTCAGTTAGGAGTACAGTAGTCCCATCATGGACTTGCAGGTATAGAGGTTTAGCAAAGACTTCTTTGCTCATGTAAAAAGTCACATACAAACAATTGACTATTAAATCACTGTGAACACATTAACATGTTTGCTAGAACTTCAATAGAAGCTATATGTATTGGAAATCTCCCTTTAAGTTTAATTAGTTCAGTAAAAATTAAATGAGAGGAAGTAATACCAAAGACGACAAATAATTTTCCAGGCAATGCTTTCTTGCCTAATAAGATTTGAAAATTGGCACAAGTATATAATAACTGCCTAGGCAATTCTCCCAGTGCTTTAAGTAGTGCTGTAATATGATTCCTGTTATAGGCTTCATGGATTTCTTCTATTATGTTCACTTTATAAATCATATGTTGAAGTTTATTGAGACAGAGCTGGACAGTTTGTACGCTTTGATGCAGTAATCTGTTAGCGAAGGTAGCCATCTGCTCTCGCCTGCTGTGAACTCAAATCTCAGCAGTGTCTGTCAACTAGCTGGGCAGGAAATAAAACTAATCTTAGAGAACATTTGGATATTAATTGTGCTGGTTAGGGAACAAGGAGAGAAGTAATGAGATCATTTGCTTTATAAAGTTACACTTCCACACCACCTCTGAAAACCATTCCAGCTACTCTTGCCAGACCCAAACGTGCAAAGAGATTAAAGCTTCCCACTTCTTCCTGGCCTAGCACTTGGGACCAGGTCTACATGACAGATTAGCGTTTCACTGTGAAAGCCTGCACAGTTCCTACTAACACATTATTTCACATGAAACTGCTCATGTAAGCAAAAACAAAAACAACTTTGGTCTCTTAGAGCCCTTTAAGTTCTAAGACAACTTCTTCCTGCAGTGTGTTTATTTACGGGATAGGCAATTGAAGCTTAATTCCTCTGGTATTGGTTCTGGTTCCCACTCAGAATTAGATCTAGTCCTGTTTATTTGCAAAAGTCTGCACATGTCATGTTGGTGTCATATCCCTGAGGGAACATCATGCTTGTATCCTGCCAGAAGGTTATAAAATAATAGTGCTTACTATTCTATAGATTCCTAAAGTTACACTAAAAACCAGTTGCAAGATCTGGCAGAAAACATCGCAGTGAAAAAGTATAAGTAGAATGGAATGGAATAATGACATTATTGTGTGTGTTTTCTTTTACTCCCTTTCCCAGTCACAAGAGGTGAGTGCAAAACACATACAAGAATTGCCTTCAGATTCATTTTTTCTGGTTGGATTATCTTGGGTTAGTGAACTTTAACTGCAAGGTCATTTTGGCTTTTATTTCCATTTTGGCACTCAGACTGCTCCAAAGTAGAATACACACCAGGCGAGAAGTGACTCTGGAAAAAGCAGACAGTAGCATAAGACCTCATATCTAGAAAATGTGATACACTGCACTTACCAATAAAGGAATGAGACTAAGCAGCAAAATTAATAACTGTATTTAAAAAACCACAATGCACCCTAACAGACACATATGCTTGTTATGTATGCTCAGTGTAGTGTGAGACCATTCACACGAGTCAACAGCATTTTGACATCTACACAGTTACAGAGATATCCAACCATGCTGTATTTACTCCTGACTTAATTTGGTTAAATGCAGTGTTTTAGATGACTATCACTTCTGCTGATACAGAAGTACATTTTAAAGGATTTTGTCTACAGTAATTGATACAAGCAATCAGACAACAGGTTCAAATACTTTTGTACACTGACAGTATAGTAAGTTTAGACTGTAGCATAAAAGCACCAGCAAGGTAGACATGACATCATCTTTCCACAAGGCTCATCTTGATATCTGTCAGACAGAGATCACCCTGTGCCCCAAAGTTTGAAACACATTAGCTCTTTCAAACTTTGATAGCATTAATTATTATAATTCTGGATATCAGTAATAACTCTGCTGGTATCCAATTTCTTTTTAAAATTTGCTATATTCTTGGCCTTAATAGCCTTCTGCAGCAATGAGTTTCACAGGCGTACCGCCCAGGCCATATTCAAGATTCATTCCCTTTTACCAGTTCTGAAAGTTGTCTGTGACATTCAAATTCAATGAGTGGTGTCCTGTTCTGACGGGACAGAGAAAAGAGAGTGTTTGAATAATCTTCTTAAGACCACTCTGGTTTATTTTGTTTTATCAAGTCTCCTTTCTTGTAATAATCTATGCAAAGATTTTCGATCTCTACAAAAAAGGGAGGACAGAACCTGCTACCGAGAATTGAAAACTGTAACATAAAGAGTTACGCAGTTCAATAGCTGAAAGCATACACTGAAATCCACATGTTTCATTATGTATGGGTGTATAACAGCTATGTTATTTCACCACAGACAGAATATCTGTTCTCATATTTGAATTGATAACACTTTATTCCCAGGAATAGGCAGTTCTGCATTAGAATAAGCAGTCACTTCCGTCACCCCAGCACAACTGGACACAACAAAGACAAGCAGGACAAAGTAATTTATGACAACTGAGTCTCTCCAAGTATCATCTCATGCTTTAGAAGGAACAAACCCTCCTTTAAGTAGGGGGATGCTATTTACCTTCACAGACCATCATTAGCGCAGACTGATGGCCTGAGGCCTGAGGCCATCAGACAGTGGGACAGTCAAGCATCACTAGGCAATGACTCATTTCTTCACTGTGCACAGCTGGGACTTCAGCAATCACAACACCAAATATTTTCGATGAAATTTTCAAAGGTTACTACAGCATTTGGCTACACAACTGTCAATGGAAATTAATAAAAAGAATGTGCCTAAACTCCTAGAGGGCTTTCAAAGACTTCATGCTGCTACTTCATTGCTCCCTCAGTAAGTTTGCAGATGAC